CAACAGTTGAAAGGTTGTCGCACAACCTTTCCACATCGCCCAGCTATTACATGAAACACACCTGAGGTCACCTGCTTTCCATGGGCCCTCCTTGGAGTTACCACTAAATGCCTTTGATAGGATGTATCTCATCTTCATGCCCTACTTAAAAAGTCAATCCAGTTTTTTCTGGACTTTCCCTTTAAAACTGAAGTCTTGGGGTGCCTGGCTGGTTCAGTCCATAGAGTATGTGACTCTTGGTCTTGGGGTTGTAGGTTCAAGCCCCACATTGGGTATAGAGATTACTTAAAAATAAGATCTTAGGGGTGTCTGGGTGGCTCAGTCATTAAGCATCTGCCTTCAGCTCAGGTCATGATCTCAGGGTCCTGGGATCGAGCCCCACGTCGGGCTCCCTGCTCAGTGCAGAGCCTGCTTCTCCCTCTCCCTCTGCCTACCTCTCTACCTACTTGTGCCCTCTCTCTCTCTGTCAAATAAATAAATAAAATCTTTAAAAAATTTTAAAAATTTAAAAAAATTAAAAGAAGGGGGTATATCACCACATGCTGCTATGTAAGTTTCTCCAGCATTAGCTGTTGAACTAGAACAAAGTGAGTCACGGGGCACGATGTATACTACTCTCATATACACACAGATCTAACGTTTTTTGCACATATATTTTTGCACATACAGAAAATGTTTCTGGAAAGATAACAAGAAACTTGTAGTTTCCCTTGAGGGTAAAGCAGAAAATAGAAATAAGGCTTACTCTTCATTTGATATGGTTTAAATCTTTTTTACCATGTGCATTCACCCAACAGATATTTGTCAGGTGCTTACGATGTGCCAGGCACCGGTTCTTGGTGCTGGGGATACAGCAGTGAACAAAACAGAAAAAATGCCCACCTTCATGTAGCTGGCATGGAAGTAGGAAAGGCAGATGATAAAGAAATATATGATCGAAGGTTAGAGAATGGTAAATGCCTGAAGAAAAATAAAGTAGGATAAGAGGGTAGGGAGTTGAGGGTGCTGTTTTAGATAGGGCAGGGTCTCTGAAGCCTGAAGGAGGTGAGAGTGAGCCACACAGTTATGGATGGGGTAGAGGAAACAGAAGGTGCAAAAGCCCTGAGGCAAACGCACACTTGGTGTGTTGGAGGAACTGCAATGGGGCCGTTCAGGAAGAGCACGGGACATGAGTCCAAAGAGGAATATAAGGCCAGATCCCATAGGACTTTGAGTGCATGGTGAAATCTTTGGGTTTTATTCCGAGGGTCCTAGAAAGCTGATGGAGGGTTTTGAGCTGGGAGTATATCTCAGTGGTGTTTTTAAAAAATCACTGCGACATGAGGTGGAGAATAGATTGCAAGAGGGTAAAAGAAGAAGCCCAGAGGCTCATCAGGAGATGATGGTGGCTCGAACAAGGTGCATTAGATTCCTGTGTCTGCTGTAACAAGTCACCTTCATGATTTAAAACAACAGAAACTTATACTCTTACAATTCTGCAGGCCAAAAGTCCGAAATCTGTTTCATTGGGCCAAAATTAAGGTGTTGGCAGGGCTCTGCTCCCTCTGGAGGCTCCAGGGAAAATCCATTCCTTGCCTCTTCCAGCTTCCAGTGGCTGCCGGCATTGGCTTGTGGCCACATCTCTCCAATCTTCCAGGCCAGCGTCTTCAAAACTCTCTCTGCTCCATCTTCATATTGTTCTCCCGGGTGTGTGAGTGTGTGTGTGTGTGTGTGTGTGTGTGTGTGTAAGAGAGACAGGCAGAGAGACAGAGACAGAGAATCTCCCTCTGCCTCTTTTACAAGAACTTATGATGGCATTTAGAGACCACCCACGTAATCCAGGACCACCTCACCGTGTCAAGATCCTTAACTTAATCACGTTGGCAAAGACCCTTTTTCCAAATAAGGTAACATTTACCGGTTCCAGGGATTATGACCTGATATCTTTAGTGGCCATTATTCAGTCCTAAGATTAGCAAATTTTTTTCACTAGAGGACAAGATAGTAAATACAGCTTTGTAAACCCTGTGATCTGTCACAACTACTCAACCGTCAAAACTGACACCATGGTACCAAAGCAACCATGGACAATACACAAACAAATGGACAGGACTCTGTTCCAGATAAACTTTATTTACAAAGACGGGAGGCAGGTCATAGACCAAGATGGAGGACTTATGAGATAGGTAGTTTTAGAATATGGATTGAAGGCAGCAATACTGGTCAGGTGTTGCTGAAGGATTAGATGTGAAGTATAAAAGAAAGAAGTGCTTGGGGCCAAGGCTGGACTCAGCAAAAGAGTTGGTAAGTGTTGCCCCTTAAAGACTGGGGAGGCAAGTTTCGGAGAGGCATCCAGAATCCCATTTAGGACGTTAATTCTGTAATGCCTGTTAGAGAGCCAAGTGGGGACATCAAGAAGGCAACTGGATATGTGCTCGTGGGGCACAGAGAGGTTGTGGCTGGAGATACGAATCAGAAAGCAGTCAGCCTTCCGTGGTATCTAAAACCACGGGACTAGCTAAGGTTTCCCTAGGGCAGGGAGTATAATTCACCCTTTTAGGTGCTCATAATTTTAAAAAATCTTATAAAATTCGTGACTCTCACGCAAATATAAAGTGAGTCTCTGTCAAGAACTGTCTTTACCTCTTTAGATTATGAGGGAACCAATAAGATATTGACAGCAGCTGGAAGGAGAATTTGAAGAACAGAGGTATATTTATAGGCAAGCAAGAATGCTTGCTAGAAGATGCAAAAGTGGTTCATATCTTATAGGGCAATAAAGTGTCACATGTGGGGTCCTCCCTTCCAGAGGGCAGAACTCAGTCACAGAACTCAACTCTATGGGCAAGAATCATCTGCATTCCTCTCAGCTTTCTGCTTCTACCCAGTCCACAGAAAGACAGTTAAAGGTGCTAATTCTGATAGATTCATGTCCTCCCCAGAGGGTTCTCTAGGCAATGCCCAATACTGCTGAATGGACAGGTTAGCTCATTTCCAAATCTTGGACAATTTTTTCTGATACTGTGCTTCAACATCTATTGAGCATCCTACTAAGTGACAGGCACCGCTCTGTGCAATGGAAGTACATCACTGAACAAAAAACACAGAGTTCTGCTCTCTTGATGCTCACCTTCTAGTGAAGGCAATAAACATAATAAAGAAAATCTATAGGACGTGGGAACTCCACAAGCGTTACAGGAAAAATAACAAGTGGAGCGGGTCAAAGGGGATCAGAATCACCAGTGTTGGGGAGATGTAGTTTCAAATAGAAATGGTCAGGTTGAAGGCCATTTAGCTCAGCAGGTCAGAGCCTGATGCTGATAAATAGAAACAGTCGGTGAAGACATCATTAAGAAATTGACATTTGGGGGGCGCCTGGGTGGCTCAGATGGTTAAGCGTCTGCCTTCGGCTCAGGTCATGATCTCAGGGTCCTGGGATCCCTGCTCAGTGCAGAGCCTGCTTCTCCCTCTCCCTCTGCCACTCCCTCTGCTTGTGCTCTTCTGTCTATCTCTCTGTCAAATAAATAAATAAAATCTTTAAAAAAAAAAAGAAAGAAATTGACATTTGGGGGCAGTAGGGGGAGAGGGGGCATCTGGCTGGCTCAGTCGGAAGAGCATGCGACTCTTGATCTTGGGGTTGTGGGTTCAAGCCCCATGTTGGATGTAGAGATTACATACATACATACACACATACATAAAAAGAAATTGACATTGGGCAAAGACTTGAGGGAGCTGAGAGAGTTAGCCTTGTGGATACCAGAGAGAAGATTGTGTAAAACAGAAAAAGAGTTCAGGATTTTTAGAAGAAGGTTAATTTTGTTTTTAATTAGTGAAGGAAAAAAATGTAAGCAGTAAAATTTGAGTCATAGATTGAGTCAAAACAGTTTGTTTTCCTGCCTGCAACGCCTTCTTTCCAATTCTAAGCAGACTGTGATGCCGTGGGTACAAGATAAATGTTAAATCAGAAGAATGATTCTAACAGTCCTGATCTTTTCGCCCTTTCCGAGTGAAAATTGGCTCTTCTTTCTTATGGGAGAGGAGTCCCATCTGCCTTGCTATCCCACCCACAAAGAATTTGACTGCATGTGTGACAAATACTTAAAGGAAAAATTAAACTTTTAGTAGTAAATAGCAATTCAAAAATAGGTTTCTGGAAAGAGAATTTGCTAGTTAATGGAAGTGTTGGCTAGAGTAGACCGGGAACACTCCTGGTCTGATTTCTAAAACTCTGCTGTAGTAAACGTATAAAAATGAAGTTTTGGTTCTCTGCTCTTTATTTGGGAGAGAAAGGGGGGCTGGTGTTATTTCCATTTTAATTCAAACCGTGTAAAGCAGAGTCTTAAGACTTGGGCAAAGATTTCTCAAAGCACAATTTTCCTCTGTGACAAAAGATTTCTTCCTTTTTTCATCTTGCCAAACATAATCACTCACAGATAAAGTCAATTTGCTCTTTTTGCCTCCGTGTTGGGCTATTTCCTTTTGCCAGCTGACTAACGTTTTCTAGGGCAGGTTGGAATTAATCATTCAGCACCCTGAGATTTTTCAGGCCAGCCGGGGCCGAGGACTCGAAACAATAAAATCCACAGTTCGCCCTCTGACAAAAGACCTCACGCTTGACAAGGAGTGAACCACAGACCACCTTAGAAAGAACAGTTTGGAAAATTCTACCTCACAGCCCAATCCTGCTTCTCTAGATGCGGAAAACGTGTTCATTTGTCACCCTAACTAGAAGTCATTTGGTGCTAATTATTCTAGAACCGGTGGCCGTTTTCCTCTTCCCCAGGAGGGCTCCCCATCAAGTGCAAGCACACTTCATTGTTTTATCTCTGAAAAACCCCAAGCCTGCCTCGCATTTCCATCCTGGCAGCTCTGCACCCTGCATGTTGGTTTTCCATCCACCATCTTCGAGTGACCTGAAACACCATGTTCTCTCCACCAGGGAGGTGTCTTCATCGGCCCCTTCCGCAGAGCCAACCCCGGTCTGCCCATGCTCAAAAACCCTGGCCACTTGCCCTTCTCACATCTGGAGCTTCCCAGACCAAAAGGCGGAATGCGGTCCCCAGCACAGAAGAGCAGCTGGCTGGGAGCAGTCGGGGCTTTTAGGCCGGCCAGGGTGCTAGAATAAATGTCAAGGGATATTTGCTGCAAAGAGGCTCCAGAAATAATGTAAAATTGTTCTGTCCTTTTAAAAATGGAAAATGCCTTGGCAGGGTGATATATTATTTGCCTGGCTGCATTTTCTCTGTCTCCGTCAAGGCTTGAAAAGTACTGGCACTTCTGCCTTTTCAAGCAGAGCTCAGTGTAACTGGACCACATCTAATGCCTGCACGATGCAAATGAAGATTGAAAGTGTTGTTTCCTTTGATGTGTGTGACTAAATGCTCAAAGGGGATATTTTCTTTTCGATCCTCCGGTGGATAGAGCCTCTTTAAAAATACCTGTTGGCTCCCTCTTCCCATCGGCAATTGAAGTCATTCCCGCACTGGAGACAGAGGTTGGGTACGGTCGTGATGAATGTCTTTCTCTGGGAAGAATACCCTGCTCGGGTTTGCGATGATTGTGAAAGCTCTGGGGGGAATTAAGAGGCGTGAAAGGCACGTTAATGATGGGTGTCTGCAATGAGCCACTCGGGCTTGCCTGAGAAAGTCCAGAGAGCACATTCTGAGAGCGAAGTTGGGGAAATGAGATGAGTCACGGCCGGGCTTCGCGGTGACGCTAGTTCTTTCTGGCACCCAGTAGCATAAAGGGCCTGGGAAGCTGGGGGCGGGAAGGAGGGGGCTGCCATTGGCCAGAGAGGCTGACCCACACGTTGGCCATTCGGTCTTCCCCACCAAGAGGGGAAGCGATCCTCACCAGTGCTGGGAGGATCCTAGCTCTTCTCTGAACCTGGGTGGTTTCTGGACACACACGAACACACGCAAGGAAATTAATAGCTCTGAGCGTTGTCAGAACCCGCCAGCCTCCAAATTGGCTGAGCTGGGCGCTTTGAACGACTTTCATAATGAGACGAGGCATAACCATAATCCACCTCAGCTACTCTGTCTTGCACACCCATGTTCAGCAGGCCATCGACAAGAGAAACTTCTGTGAAAAAGCAAGAACAAACAAACATTTGGATCCGTCTATAAATCATGATCTGGGTCATTAAATTTACTTTTTATGTCACCCCTCTCCCCTTTGTCCCTGGTAGATGTTTGCAGTAGCTCACCTGGGTAGGAAGCTGGAAGCGAGGGTCATTTTGGAGATGGGAGAGGAGATGGGAGAGGAGATGGGAGCTCCCGGATAACGGGGGCTTGGCCGCAGCGGCCACTGCTGCGTGCCTCATGCCCAGACTGGCCCGGGCACGGGTCAGGTGCAATAAATACTGAATGGATGAATGAATGCTCAGCCCAGCCTCATCCAAAGGAACCACACTGTTTAGGGGGGTAGGAAATTCACATGGAGAGGAATTAAAAACAGCCCTTGGCCAGATCCTGGGCTAATCTGCTCAAGCAGCCATAACAAAGTGCCGCAGATGGGGGAGCTTAAACAACAGAAATTTATTTCCTCACAGTTCGGGAGGCTGGAAGTCACAGAGCACGACGTCGGCAGGTTCGGTTTCTCCTGAGGCTTCTCTCTTTGGGTCATGGATGGCCATCCTCCCGCTGTCCTCACATGGTCTTTCCTCGGCACACCAGCACTCCTGATGTCTCTCTCTCTTCGAGTCCAAATTTCCTCTTCTTGGAAGAACGCCAGTCATATTCGATTCGGACCCATCCTAATGACCGCATTTTAACTTAACCACTTCTTCCAAGGCCCCATCTCCAACTACAGTCACACTCTGGGGTACCGGGGCAGGGGGGTAAGACTTCAACATACAAATTTGGTGGGCACACAATTCAGTCCATAACCGGTCCTGACTATTCTCACACTAAAGCTCAGTACTTTGGGGCTTCTTAAAATAAAAGAGCACTGGTCTCATTTCCTGCCCTATTGGCTAGGGCTCTATTTTCCAGGTCTTTCATCCCACGCTCAGCAAAACGCGTTATGCAAGTATCTCTCCCATGTAAACCCTGCTGCACTTTGTTTTTTCGATCCTGGTTTTCTATCCTCTTTCCTCTGTATCCTGAGAAGCAGTTGACATGTTATCAGCTGCTGGTGCCCTCCTGGCTGTGCCCCCACAAACTGTTGCCCGGGGCAGCTCACTTGACATTGCTGAGGGCCACCTCACCCTCAGAAGGGGCTTAATCGTCCCTGCCCTGCCTGCCTCACAAGGTCACTGTGACGATCTCATGATGTCACGTTTATGTGTCCAACTGGGTACATGTGCCCGACAAGGTATATAAAATCTCAGAATAAACAAAGTCCATCCTTATAGAGCATCACTTTTAAAATATGATCATTATATTAAAATGAGCCTCACTTTTAAAATATGATCATTATATTAAAATAAGCACAGATGCATTAGGAAGCAGAACAAAAAATTGGCATGAAATGCAAATAAAACCGAAGATTTCAAATAAAATGTGTCCTTGCTGCAGCCTATGTTTCTACCATCCCAGGGACTTGGGTGGGAAGTTGAAGCAATGCTGGTTATGCCACGAAGATGTATGAGGCTGCTCACCAGGTACTGATATGGAACAATTGCCAAGATATATTACAAAGTGAAAAAATGCAGGTGCAGAACAAGGTGTTACCACTTGTTTGAAAAAAGCAGGGGGCATGTGGGTATTTATAAATGCTTGTGAATGCCAAGCATACTTGGGAGCAATACAAGGAAACCCATAACAGGGGTTACCTCCAAGATAAAGACCTGGGGAACTGGGAGACAGGGATGGGAAGGAGACCTCACACCAAAACCTTCCTGTATCAACCGATTTTTAAAGATTTATTTATTTATGTGTGTTTGAGAGAGAGAGCATGAGTGAGGAGAGGGGCAGAGGGAGAGAACAGACCCCTCAAGCAGACTCCCCACTGAGTGCAGAGCCGGACATGGGCCTCAGTCCTATGATCCATGAGATCATCACCTGAGCCAAAACCAAGAGTCGGGCGCCTAACCAACTGAGCCACCCAGGTGCCCTTACCTCATTTTCTTAAACGTATGGAGTACCTATTTTTAAAAGGCATTGCTTTTAAAAGCCACAGTCTTGATTTTAAAATTAATTTATTATCATTATTCAAATGATAGTCATATGCATTACATGGTGTATATGAGTTATATGGAGTATATGAGTTTATGGAGTGTATGAGTATATGGACTATATGAGTTATACAAACTATGAGTTATACGGACTGTAAGAGTTATACAGACTATATGAGTATATGGACTGTATGAGCGTATGGACTATATGAATTATATGGAGCATATGAGTTATCTGGACTATAGGAGTTATACGGACTATATGAGTATATGGACTATATGTGTTGTACGGACTATATATGAGTTATGTGGAGTATATGAGTATATGGATTATATGAGTTATATGGAGTGTATGAGTTATATAGAGTATACGAGTATATGGAGTGTATGAATATATGGACTATATGAGTTATACAGACTATATGAGTTATATGGATCATGTGAGTTATATGGACTATATGAGTTTATGGATTGTAGGAGTATATGGATTGTAGGAGTATATGGACTATATGAATTTATGGAGTATATGAGTTGTATGGAGTAAGTGAGTATATGGAGTATATGAGTTATATGAAGTATGTGAGTATATGGACTACATGAGTTATATGGAGTATATGAGTATATAGAGTAACAAATATATGGAGTACGTGAATATAAGTAGTGAGAGACTTCAGGTGCAGCCTTGGGCAGTGCTAATATTGATGAGGTGATTGGATTGGAGACTGAGAAAAAGGACAACCAGAGAAGCAGAAAAGAAAACCTGGAAAGCATAGAGGAAATGAAGGAAGTGGGTTTTGAGAAGGAAGTGTCCATAGAGTCAAATGGCACAGAAAAGTCCAGTTAGAACCATTTCACATCCACTAGGATGACCATCATCCAAAGAAAAGAACAAACCAGAATAACAAGTGTTGGGAGGGTGTAGAGAAGCTGGAGCCCTCTGCACGGCTGGTGGGAGTGCAAAAGGGTGCAGCTGCTGAGGAAATAGTACGGCGATTCTTCAAACAGTTAAACATAGAACGACCATATGATCCAGCAATCCCACTCCCCAGTCTACACCCCAAAGACCTGAAGGCAGAGACTTAAACAGATCTTTGTACACGCATGTTTGTAGCAACGTTATTCACAGTAGCCGAAAGGTAAAGGCGACCCAAATGTGGGTAGACGGATAAACAAATATGGTATTCACACAATGGAATGTTGCTCGGCTCTACAAAGGAATGAGATTCTGACCATGCGCGACAGGGATGAATCTTGAAGACAATACACTAAGTCACAAGACAGCAAGTACTGTATGATTCCACTTACATGAAGCCCCTAGAGTAGTCACCCTCACAGGGACGGAAAGTGTAATGGAGGTGGTAGGGGCCTGCAGGAGAGAACGGGGCGTTTGTGTTTAACGGGGGCAGAGTTTCAGTTGGGCAGCATGAACAAGTCCTGGAGGTGGACGGTGGTGACGGCTGAACAGCGGTGTGAACTGACTTCCTGCCGCTGAACGGTATGGTTAAAATGGTAGATTGTAGGTTGAGTATATCATACCACCATCATCAAAGCATCAGGTTACAGAATGGATGTCAATCCAACCTAGAAGTTACCAGGGATTTTGATGAAGGCAAAAGGGCAGAAGCCAAAAGAGAGTGGGTGTGGGTAGGGCAAGACTGAAGGGCATGAAGACATGAAAACTGACAAGGTGCCTCTAGAAGGTGGGAGAAAGGTGGGGTAGCAGCTAAGGAGTGGGGAGCACATTCTCAGCCATCTCTGGAATTTTCTGCTCCCTTAGCCAGGCCTGGGCTCTAGGATCATTGCTAGTGCTGAGGTAGGAGGAGGAGGCACCCCATGCCCACTCCAAGGGACCCACTGGCTTCTTCCAAGCCACCCTGCTCCTCCCTGTCTCTTCCCTTGTGAATGTTCTTCAATTTCTTATGGGTTTAGGTCTTTGGAAACAAGGGCCAGCATCTTGCAGCTACCCCCACAATCTGCCAGTCCCAGAGCTTGTCAGAGACAATGAAATGCAGAGCCAGCTACCTACCTGAAGAAGGGGAAGGAAAACGAGAAAATACAGAGAGGGAGAAAACCATCAGAGGACATTACTTAGTGCACATGCTTCCTAGGTTCTCAGAGCCCAGGTGCAGCTTCTTGTTCACTGAAATCAATGAGGTGAGTGCATTTTCTACCAGCTCCCCTTCACAGACCTTACCTTCTGTCCTCCTCTCCTCTCTTGTGTGGTCTTCCCAGTGCCCTCATGCCATGCTCCACCTCCCCTTACGCTTGACATCAGAGTTCATTCAACACATTGTTTATTAGCACCTGCTACCTGGCAGGCCCTGTAAGCAAAACAGAAGGGCATTCCTGCTTGTGGATTTTAACATTCTTGCAGTGGGAGATGGATAATAAAGTTTAAAAGTTAAGTACATATTTGAGATAGTGGTAAGAGCTATGAGGAAAAAAAAGTCCAGAAATGGGGAAAAGAGGGAGCAAGAGTGAGAAATGGAATTACAATTTCCAAAAGGGCAATCAGGGAAAGCAAGCCTCAGGTGATACTTGAGCAAGGATCGAAGCAGGTAAGGGAGAGCCCTGCGGGCCGCTGGGGGAAGAGCATCCCAGGCAGGAGGGAGAGTCGGTGCAAAGGCCCTGAGGCAAACACTTCCCTTGTGGATTGGAGAAAGAACAAGATGGTAAACTTCTGTATCTGAGTGAGCACAGGAGAGCACAGTGGGAGATGTGCAGAGAGTTTAAAGAAGTGAGCAATCAGATCTGATGGTGAGGCTTTGCTAACAACATAGAGACTTTGGCTCTTGTTCTGAGCGCAAGGGGAAGCCACCAACGGGGATAGGAGTGCTGTGATGTGACGTAAGAACTGGGGTCATCAATCTGGCCACAGTATGGAGAATAGACAGTTGGGGGTGGGTAACAAGAGCAAAAAAGCAGGAAGACCAGTTACAAAGCAACTGCACAATCATGCAAGAGGTGATGGTGGGTTGCACCAGATCAATCTTGAAGGCAGAGCCATCAGGAGCTGCTGACAGATTGCATGTGGAGTGCAAGAGAAAGAAGAGTCAAGAACGATTCCAAGCAGGGGAAGTGTGTTTGTGGGGGAGGATTAAGCTCACCCCTGGATGGCTGCCTCATCCTCTAGTCCAGTCCTCTCCCTGGGTGAGCTAGCTCCTTCCCAGCACTGTCCTAACGGCTCCACCCGGGAGATGTGAACTTGGAGTTTCTCTACTATGTCACAAAGCTCAGAATCCAGAGTTTACTTTCCACCTATTCTGCCACTGGTAGGTAGAAAATGAACCTGTTACAAATGTTAATAATTTAAGAATAAAATCTTAATAATTAAGTTAAGAATAAAATGTTAATAATTTGTAGCCTGTCCCTTTTCTTAGAGAACCAGAATGCAGCCAAAACAGAGCCCTACCATTTCCTGATTATCAGAGTCAATGTCGATGTGGCTTACATGTCAGATGAGTAAGGGACTGATTTCAGTTTTCCTTTGTTAAATGTGGACAGTTCTGTAAATACCT